ACCTTTGGTGCAAGGAACCAGGCAGTAGAGCCCGTTGACTCACCAGTTATCACCTGATAAGCCTCTTGATTAGAACATCATCTATGAGACAGAATGGCTGAAAGAGAAACATACCTACTTTGGGGGCAGTTTTCTTGCTTATATCTATAGAGAAGGATTAGAATCCCAGATGATAGAGCCGTCCAGCTGGAAGGGAAGTTCAGGTTAGCAGCAAGCATCTCCATGCTGTTGCTAGACGTGGAGGGCTTCTAGGAATGCGTGGTGGAGCACATTTCCTTCTGCTTCCTGGCAACTGTTCCCGTAACAGTTGCTCGTGGGTCCAAGATGGATGATGGTTGCTTGTAGAATTCTCTTTCTAGAAGAGACGCAGAGTTAAAATCAGAGGTTTCTTTAGAGAAAGAGAATTGTAATCAAGTCTGTGGTGATGGATGGAATGAAACTAGAAAAGCTGGACACAACCATCTCTCCTTCAGGGAGACCCCTGGGGACAAGGCTACCAGGACTGACATTGCTTGGACACTGCAGAAAACTTGTTAACAAGTTCTGCATGATCTAATTCTCCTTTTTCAATATTTCTCATTGATTGCCAACTCTTCTGGTGCGACAAATTGCTTTATGATACACAATTTACAGTGACTAAGCGGACAGCTCCACTGATGTTAGCTGTTGTCTGAGAAGGAAATCGTCCCAAGGAGATTGGAGAGTTCTCTCCCAAGACTCTTTTTTTTTGGAGTTGGAGTCTCACTCTGTCGCCCAGACTGGAGTACAGTGGCACACTCCTGGCCACCGCAGCCTCACCTTTCTGAGCTCCAGCAATCCTTCCGCCTCAGCCTTCCAAGGAGCCAGAACTACAGGCACACGCTACCACGCCTGGCTAGTTTTTGATGTATTGTAGAGTCAAGGTCTCTCCAAGTTGCCCAGGGAGCAGGTCTCGAACCCGCGGGCTCAGGTAATCCACTCACCTCAGCCTCCCAAAGCACTGGGATGACAAGCTGAGCCACCGAGCCTGGCCCTCAAGACTCTTACAAAAGATGGGAATGCCCTTGTCTTGAGAGTCGCATTTATACATTATCTCTGAAATAATTTGGGGGGAATGTTTCTTTGCACATTTTTGGCATTCATTTCAGAAGATGACATTTTATGGTCAAGTCTCCAAGTTTGGAGGACACATTCTGTTCGGAGCTTACAGATCCTTTTACTTTGATGGCAGCCGGAACGTCACCTGTTCTTCCAGAAGAGGTGCCCAGAGAGGGGTACTGTGATGGGAAAGTAACAATTTTGAGATGGTTCTGGATTCGACTGTGAGCTCTGCCTTCCTGTTGATGTGTGTTCTCGGGCAATTTACTCTACCTGAGTCTTCACGTCTTCAACTCTAAAATGGAAATAACTCATGCCTATATTGCAGGAATTTTCGCATGCATTAAATTTTATAGTATCTGAAAATTCTCTAATAGCTTTCACTCCAAAGTCGCGACTGGCTATGGCAACTAGAACGGGACAGAGCTTTCTGTTTTATTACAGCTTCCTCCGAGCCTTTTGCTCTGAGTCACAGCAGTACGGGAAGAGCCCTCAGTACCTCCTTCAAGAAGAAAAAAAGCATAAAGTATTTCTCTTGGTTATTTTCCATCCCCAGGTTTGAATTTTGCCTGGCAATTATTAACTGGTCTCACTTAGGGTAGGAATGACACCTCACTTGAGCATCCCTCAATCTCCTTATTATTAAAACCCCTGCAACCTCCTGAATTTCTTGTTGGCTCTTGACTCACTCCCTTGGGTCTGGGTGACAGTGTGAGCCTCACTGGGGTTTGTTTCCCCCTTTTTAAAAGTGTCTTCTTGGGAAACCACCCACCAAGATGTTAAAGGTAGGTATCTCCAAGAGTTGGGATAACAGGTTATTGAATTTTTTCTTGTTTTCTATAGGTTCTGAAGCTTTCATAATGAGCATTTTTTGCTTATATAACTAGAAAACAATTGGTTTTTTCAAGTAAAAGAAAAAGAATGCTCTTTAACCCTTCTCTGGCAGCACTCTGCAGGATGTGGTGTCTTTGCAGCTATAGACTTGGCATGAAAGCTTCCTCACACCTGCAAGGGTCTTCAGCAACATGCTGGTCATGACTTTGGACCATTGAGGGGCAGAAACTCTCCACAAATAATAAGGATTTAAATGTTAGCATTTCTAGACACTGGTGAACCTACCTTGCCTAAGTTAGAACCACTTGATTCCAGAACGCCAACCTGAGTTAGCTTAAGCAGGTAAGGAGATCTTTGTTTAAGTCATGATGCTGGGGTAGTGCCTGAAACCCAAGGAAAGAATGTATCTGGATCACAGGACTAGCTGGAGTCCAGAACTGAAACACTGTCAGGACTCTGTCTCCTTCTTGGGTTTGGTCTGCTTGTCATTCGAAGCAGTTCACCAGCTTTGTCAGCTGATGGAAACCACAACTCCCAAGACAGCATCTTATACATTTAGCCAGTAGGAAAAGACTGACCTGATGTCCTCTGTGTCCAAAGCATGAACATTCTGCATAAGAGTCTCACCTGCCCAGTTTGTGTCAGAGGCCTATGCTGGATTAATTGACTGTGGTCAAGGCACCAGGTATAAGGTCATGGCCTGAAAGATCAGGGTCCATCGTGCTATTCAAAGTGTGGCCTGTGTACCAAGTGGGCCCACAGACTGATTGTTACCTATCTGGACAGTTCTGGTACCAAAATTGAGAATACATTTCTAAACCTATATGACAATTTGGCATCCCTATGACACTCAGACGTGATTTTGTATTTTGCCAGAGCATCAATTAAAAATTTTAATAGTTTGAAAAGTACTGACTTGGCAACTCTTTTAAGAATCATCTGCTTAAGACAGAAAGGGGGATATACTGAAAGGAGATATATATATAGGAGATATATATATATATAAAACAACTGGTATATATATATATATATATATATATATATATATATATATATATATATAAAACAACTGGTATTCAGCACATAACACCTCCACAGAGCTCTGCAGTTCAACTCTACCAGACCAGGCCACACTAGGGTCTTGCCTTCTGGAAAAATTTGTACTCCTTGTAAAAGTCATTGTCTTTGTAATGCACATGTTTAGTGTCTGTCTTTTTCCACTTTGACATAAGCTCCATGAGAACAGAGACTGTCTGATGTGTTAACTACAGTCATCCATGCCCAGCCATGGGGGCTCAACAAACAGTTGCTGCAATGAGTCACTGTACTAGGGATGCACTGGAAACAACTTTGGATATACCTGGAGGTGAAGTCGCTTCAGGTGACTCCCTGCAGGACCTACAGCTGCCACTGATACCTAGAAAGGGAAATGTTAAAAACTGTGGATGTGTTGAAAGGCCTGATATTAAAATGCTCAACCTCGGCCGGGCTCGGTGGCTCAGCCTATAATCCCACGCCTTTGGGAGGCTAAGGTGAGTGGATTGCCTGAGCCCGTGGGTTCGAGACCCGCCTGGGCAGCGAGACCTCATCTCTACAATAAATCAAAAATCAGCCGGGCGTGGTAGCGTGTGCCTGTAATTCCGGCTACTCGGAAGACTGAGGCGGAAGGATCGCCGGAGCCCAGCAGGTCAAGGCTGCGGTGGCCGGGAGCGGCCACTGCACTCCAGTCCGGGCGACAGAGTGAGACTCCAACTCAAAAAAAAAAATGCTCAACCTCACTAGTCATCATAGAAATGCAAATCAAAACCACACTGAGTCACCACCTAACTCCAGTCAGGATAGCCGCCACCAATAACTCAAAAAACAACAGATACTGGAGAGGGTGCGGGGAAAAAAGAACACTTCTACACTGTTGGTGGGAGTGTAAACTAGTACGACCCCTGTGGAAAACATTTGGTGATTCCTAAAAGATCTCAAAATTGACCTTCCATATGACCCCGCTATCCACCTGTTGGAAATATATCTGGAGGATCACAAATCACTCTACGAAAAAGATACCTGCACACGCATGTTGATTGCAGCACTATTCACAATAGCAAAAATATGGAACCAACCATGCTGCCTATCAAAAGAGGACTGGATACAAAAAATGTGGCACAAATATATGACAGAATATTACACAGTCAACAGCAAGGACAAAATTATGCACTTCGCTGCAACTTGGACAAACTTAGAGGCTATAATATTGAGTGATATATCACAGAAACAAAGAACCAAGTATCACTCACAAGCAGTCCTTGAACAACTGTCCTAATACTATAAGACAGGGATTGACAATAGTGGGAAACTGCCGGGGAAGGGGACGCACACCTCATCAACAAGGGGACCTGCATAATGAACATTTGTATACCTAACCCTGAATTGTACCCCGCATATTTAAAATTAAAAATAAAAAAGGCCCGATATTGACGTAATAATATTTTTATATACACATGAAACCTATAGCTCATGATGACCTTAGGAGTTCCTTTTGAAAAGGAACAAAAATAGGGTGCCCTTGATTTATCACTTAGTGACCTTGGCTTCATCGTGTGCTACTAATATAAGCGAATACTGGGTTTTCCTAAAGTGGACACACCTACAAGAAACTTTGAGCTCATATGGAAAGGCAAGAGAAGAAAGTATTTGGGTTAGAAGTCATAGCCACATGGCTTTACTAAAAATGCTGTCAATCCTTCAAACTGTTACCTTAGACAAACCATTTTCCCTTTCTGGACTCCAAATGATCAAACTTTAAAATGTGGTATCTGAGATAGATAAAATCTGAGGGTCCTCCCAGTCCCAACCATCCATAATTTTCTCACTCTGTAGCTACCTGCATGCAGGTGCTTCATCATGCAAGAGGTGCATTTTGTATTTCCCACCACTCCACATCCTTTGACAACGGCAAGTCCATGGCTTATGAACTTGCTATTTCTCAGAGACCCAGTGCTGGGTAGCTGTGGTTGCTTTGCTTTATAAACCAGAGCCTGATGAATTGTATTGAAGTGGCCTTACTTGTCTGCTTGTGTCTTGCGCTTGTCCCTCAGCCATGCTGCAGGCAGTGCGAGCCCTAATGATCGTGGGCATCGTCCTGGGTGCCATCGGCCTCCTGGTAGCCATCTTTGCCCTGAAATGCATCCGCATTGGCAGCATGGAGGATTCCGCCAAAGCCAACATGACGCTGACCTCTGGAATCATGTTCATCATTTCAGGTAAACGCAAACCCTAGGGTTCCCACTTCCGAGAATATCAAAGCAGAACTATTCTGGCGGAGGAAGCATGACCCTCCCTACTATCGAACATGGTTCAGAACTATCATGCTGGGATTCAAGATCTGAGTGTGGAGGCCCAATTACACAGACAAGAATGGAGGTCCTTCTCAGTTGCCAACCCAAATCCAGTATAAGAGGTTCTCAACCCTAGGGTAGTCACGTGACTCGATCCCTAAAAGACATTTTCTTGGTACGACTCTAGAAAGTGAGTTTAAGGGAAGATCTCTTGACATCACCAAAGAGCCAGACCCAAGATATTTGGACTGTGGGCCCTGAGTGCCAAGATGCCTGAAAAGTCTCTTCCTGCACACACACCAATCCTTCCACAATTAGTGAGATAAAGATACTAAGCGCCTACCACAAGGTCCAGCACAGAGTGGGAATTCAATAATTGATGCTTGATTTACAGGACTCTGCAGCCTACTCACCCACTATTTGTTTAACCATAAATTGCCCCAGAAATGTGATTCCTTAAAGCTGACTCTGGAGCATTCTTGTTCTTTGCCCGCAGGTCTCTGTGCGATTGCCGGAGTGTCTGTGTTTGCCAACATGCTGGTCACTAACTTCTGGATGTCCACGGCTAACATGTACACCGGAATGGGTGGGATGGTGCAGACTGTTCAGACCAGGTAACCTCCTCATCTGGGTCTCAGCAATCCGTGATGGATATTGTTGTTAGAATCTGATTAAGCACGTGTGCCTAGTGTGACTGTCGGGGCCTGAAATAGCAAAAATTTATCAGAGGCAACCATTCCATATCATAAATCAACAATCTCCCATAAATTCATAAACTTCATTTTCGTGAAATATTCATGGTGATATGACTTGAGGCTGATCTGACATTTGCATTGAAATACAGTGACAGTTCACAGCATTTATCTAACACTCGTACGCCGGCCCCATTGTGGTGGCAATGAAACAGGCACTATTCACCCAGGTGAGTAAATGAACATCACCTTAGATCTCCAGTTCATAACAGGAACCTGGCTTGGAACGGGTAGAAGTTAGAACAGCGATGACCGAGGTGCAGCATAGGTAAGAAAAGTGATGATTTTTCCTGGCACAGCTTCCTCTTTCTCTCATCCATTCGTTCATTCATTCATTCATTCTACAAATGTATTGAGTCCCCACGGTGGACCAGGAAGTGCTCAGAGTGCTGGGGAAACAGACCAAATCCCCGCGCTCATGGAGGGTACAGTCTAGCAGAGGGAGGTAAAATTCCACTACTATTTAGTGTCTGAAGGAGAGTAGACCTTTTAAAAGATGGGAAGACAATACCAATGCCTGTATGCATTCTCGCCACTTCAAAGGGACGCTCTTCATGGTAAGATGCAGCAGCAAATCCCTGAAGAAAGATCTTGCTCTGAGAGAGTAGTATAGGCCGTGTGCCTCAGTGACCTGTCCTCTCTGGAGTGAACGCACGTGGCATTTCTCCAGCCACACCAACATGGGGTACAAACAGAGTGTGGGGGTGTGACAAATCCACTACTCCCTGGCTCCCCGGAACTCCAATCCTCAGTCATGTTTCTGCTTTGTTCCAAGAATGGGAGGGGAATCAGTCTTATAAGCTCCCTCATCCTCCTCCGTGTTCCTCCTTTTGGGTCCAAGTGCAACTTAGAAGGAGGCTGACCAGCACACTATGAATCCCTCATCCTGGGAAGGTTCTCCATCAGGGGCAAGCCAGAGTGGCTGTTTACCCTCCTTAGAAGATCCCAGCCTGGCAGGGTGAGGTGGCTCAAGCCTGTCATTCCAGCACTTTCGGAGGCCAAGGTGAGGGGATCGCCTGAGTCCATGGGTTCGAGAACAGTCTAGGCAAATTGTCGAGACCTCATCTCTACCATAAAGCAAAAAAATAAAAATTAGCCAGGTGTGGTAGTGCACACCTGTAGTTCCGGCTACTTGGAAGGCTGAGGCAGAAGGGTCACCAGAGCCCAGCAGGTCAGCGCTGGGGTTGCCGTGAGTGTGCCACTGCACTCCAGTCTGGGAGACAGAGTAAGATTCCAACTCAAAAAAAGAAGAAGATCCCAAACTGCCTGGAGTGCATGGGTGCCTGGCATCACTGCCTCTCTGCCCAGAGGTGTCACCGATACCCACCTTGCACCGAAGACTGATGTCTGTCTTCACTCTCACACGCTGTCTCCCCAGCACTGGCCCGTGTTCCTTGGTCAGGCAGCTTCAGTTCTGGGTCAAGACCGGATGATTCTGAATGGCCTTCTGGACATCCCCCTTCCCGGGTGGGCAGCTAGCTATCTTTCTCCTTTCTCTCTTCTCGTTTTCTCCCAAGGAGATGAGCTCTGTGCAAGTATTTGCTAAGGAAGGGTAGAGAGGAGGCAGAGACAAGAAAGGAGGGGGAGACAAACAGGGGTGTTAGTTTAGGTGACGGCCCAGCTCAGCGTGACCCTGCACGGCATGAGTTGCCCTTCAGAGCTGCCTCGACTCCAGACTAAAGAGCTGGGCTTTCCCTCCTCGGGGCCAGTCAGTTTCTGTGGGCAAAGTGGCTCTGGTGCTTGCACTGAAGCCAGAATTCCAAGGACAGTCACAAGGGCCAGCAGGTCAAGGCAAGAGAGACACAAAAACAGGAAATGGGTCAGAGCACCAATTAGTGCCCGCCGTAGGAAGACGTCATACCATGCACACACAGATCTGTATTTCTAGCTTTGGGTAAAAAAAAAATCAGAAGACAAGGCAGCACCAGGTTCTCATTCTCACACGGCCCCATCCCTGCAGCTGGGAGGAAGCCGCCCTTCCAGCGAGGAGACACACACTAGTTTGCCACGGTCCTAACCGCTCTCCAATGGCCCGATTCTGATGCCGTGTGTCATCATGCGTATGGGTTTTTTCCTCCATATATTAAAGCTGAGAAATTGAAGTGTGTTCTCCTATCTAGTTCACCTCTCTCATCTGAGTTTCTTGCCTGTGCCAAGTATTTAGGTTTGCTAACCTTGACTCAGAGTGTCCAGGTTGAGGAAGGGGACCTTGTTTCTCACGCATAAAAGATTGCAGAGCTTAACAGCTAACAAAGACAGCTTTAAGAGCAGAGTGACTTGAATTTGCATCCTGACAATGCCATGTCCTTCCTAGGTCTTTGGATAAGTTAGTTAACTTTTCTGAGCCCCCATATCCTCATCTATAAAGTGGTCACTGTGATAAAATACTTTACATCTTACTTTGGAAAACTTTAAAATATGATCACAGTGACTCTTGGGAGAATTAAATGAGACAGTGGTAAACAGTGTCTATCACAGTATCAGTAAAAGCTCAGTAAGTGATAGTGATTGCGGCTGTCATCATTAACATTATGAAATCATTCAACCATCTCTAGGGATATCGAGGACAGGGACCCTGTGTCAGATCAGAGGGACAAGGGCTGCCCCCAGGAGAATCATCACCTGGGGGTTCACTGGAGGTGTTGCAGGGTGTGTCCTGCTGTCCATCCCACACTGGGTAGGATGAGAAGAAGAGCAGGGTTCTTCTTTTCAAGGCGGCAGCCCTCAAACCAAATATATATTTTCCTAGTCCAAAGAGATACAAACAGCCTGCAGGTAAATTTTCTCCCAGAACTTTTTCAAGGGCCGAGCTCAGCCAACCAGGGTTACACCACTTATCATTCTTGGGCACGAGGCTTATATTGTTGATTTTAATCCTGCTAAAAGGGGTGCAGGTTTTTTGTTTTGTTTGTTTTTTTTTGAGTAGGAGTCTCACTCCGTTGCCCAGACTGGAGTGCAGTGGCCGCTCCCGGTCACCGCAGCCTCGACCTGCTGGGCTCTGGCCATCCTTCCACCTCAGCCTTCCAAGTAGCTGGAACTACAGGCGCACACTACCACGCCTGGCTCATTTTTGATTTATTGTAGAGATGAGGTCTCGCCAAGTTGCCCAGGTGGGTCTCGAATCTGCGGGCTCGGGCAATCCACTCACCTCAGTTTCCCAAAGTGTGGGATTATAGGCTGAGCCACTGAACCCGGCTGGGTGCAACTTTTAATCACATCTAAAGTATTGTATTTGCTTAGATTGCAGACGTTCTGTCTTCCTACTGCGGGCATTATGTTCTTAGTTTGTATAGCAGATTTTAAGTATATCAGCAATGCATGGTATTCTACAGTCACCATGGCTCCAAGGGAGGCACCTCCATGCTAAGCCCTCCTTTTCTGCAGGGCTCTTGGAGATGGGGGTCAAGTTCCCGGCTGACATCGAAATACCCACGGACATCCTTGGTTTCCTCGGGAAACTCTGCAGGTCAGGAAGCCAAGGATGTCCGTGGGTATTTCGATGCCAGCTGGGAACTTGACCTCCAACTCCAAGAGCCCTAGCAGTTTTCAGTCACTGAGGATTTGGGGATATCTCTCCGCCATCCAAAAATGTCTGTTTGGAATCACAGTGATTTCATTATTGGGAGATTTTGCTCTCAATCCTGCTCTGATGTCGTTGGGTCCCAGTGGAGGCAGCCCTCCCAGGGGAAGGGCACCAGCTTCAGGGTCAAACCACCTCAAGTGAGAATTCTGGTGTGGGCTGCACCGGAAGCACCATGAAGGCATTGTCTCTGTTTATCTTGTTCACCCCCTACGTCTCAGCGTCAGGGAGGAGCCCAATAAATATTTGCTGAACACAGGAGCAAACAAACAAAAGAAAGGATGAATGGTCACTTCGACCGAGTTCTTTCTTAAGCTACTATTCCTACCCACATGGATGGTCGCAAAAGTTACTTCATACGATGATTGCTTCTTGGTCCAAAGTAAGGACTCAAGGAATTAAAATTCCTTTAGAAATAATAACTGGAGGCTGATTTTATATCTCTCAAATTTCTCTTAACAAAGCTTCAAGACACTTGAAGAGAGGGTGGGGGGGTTCCTGAGATGTTTCACGGAGACCAGATTTGGAATTTCATGCCTGAGTGCCGCTAGGGGCCCAAGGATTCCCCTACAGTTCTACTGACTCACTTGGGTCCCAACCCCATTCTCCAGGGTACCTGATCAGTTGGCTGTGACCCAAACAGTGTGCGTCCAGGGGCCGTGGAAAAGGATGAATGTAGACTCTAGAAACGGGGACAGAGAGCACAGGCATGGTCAGGTGCGGTGGGCGGAGCCTGGAGAGTCGAGTCCCATTCTCAGCCACCGTCTCCCCACCCAGGTACACCTTCGGCGCAGCTCTGTTCGTGGGCTGGGTGGCCGGAGGCCTCACGCTCATCGGGGGTGTGATGATGTGCATCGCCTGCCGCGGCCTGGCACCCGAGGAAGCCAAGTGAGTCATCCCACGCCAGTGCGGGCAGGTGCTTCGTTTGTTTGGAGTCCACGCTGATGTGTGTAACTTGCAACCAGTACTATGAGTCTGGGCATACGGAAGAAATGTATTGACCAAAGGATTATTGAACTTTGTCTTTTATGGGGAACCTAAGGAACATAACAGGGATGTCTCAGCCCAGTCCTATTCCCACGTGATCCAATTTGAAGGGAAAAGCCATCCCCTCCAGGTTCTTTGAGCGCCTGTAGACTGTCACTCAGGGATTCTCAGCTGGGGCGATTCTCCCCAGGGGATATTTGGCAAGATCTGAAGATTCCTTTAATTGTTACAATTGGGAGGGGAGACTAGTGATACTGGCATGCCGTGGGTAGAGGCCAGGGATGCCTGCTGAATATCCCGTAGTGCACAGAGCTGTCCCATAACAAGGAAGTATCCATTCCCAAATGTCAACCATACTGCTGCGGAGAAGCCCTGCGGCAACTCACACACAGAACCGGAGTCAAAAGTGCTAGAGTCCAGTGTGATTCTCCTGCCGACTGGCCCTGTGGCCTCCAGCAGGTCATTTGCCTTTTCTGGACCTCTGCTGCCTCATCAAGGAAATGGGCAGATTAGAAGAGACGGGCTGCCCATAGGTATCCCCTGGCTCACAGCTTTATATTTATTGTTTCACAGAGGAAACTCACTAGCCATTATCAGCTCAACAAATCTCTAACACAACGCAAGAAATTCTGCTCCCCTGCAGAAGCAGAAAAACCAGGGTCTCCAAAACGAGGGTGACAAACCACACCAGTTTGCCCAGGACACTGGGCTTCCAAGGACACCGGACTTCCAGTTCTAAACTGAAGACAGTCCAGGGTAAATGGACCAATTGCCCAATTGGTCCTCCTGCCAAAGACATCTGCACTCATGGAATGTTTCTTTTTCTTTCAGCTACAAGGCTGTGTCCTATCACGCCTCGGGCCACAATGTTGCCTACAGGCCTGGAGGCTTCAAGACCAGCACTGGCCTGGGGTCCAACATGAAAAAGAAGATATACGATGGGGGCGCCCGCGCAGAGGACGAGGTCCAATCTCATCCTTCCAAGTACGACTATGTATAACGCGCCAAGACCCCTCGGCATGGGCAGAAGACACCTCCCAAAGAGAGCTCACTCAGGAAACAAGGAGATTCCACCTCGATTCCTTACTGCTTTTGACTCACAATCGGAAGTTAGAAAAGCCTTGATTTGATCTTTGTCCCTAAATATTCCATTGCAAAACAACTGAGTTATCACTTACGAATTAGAAGCTGTAGCTCACATTTTCAATTCTGTATTTCTTTTTTTCGAAAAATGGCTTTCGAATCTGATGACAGAATGAGGTTGGAATGGCTGTCTGACACTTCGATGACTTAGATGGACTCATCCTCCTTCTATTCAATATCCCAATTGGTGATCTGTTTCCCAGCCTGTCCCCAAGAAAAGATTTGAAAGGAAAAGAAAGAGAACACATCAAAAGACTTCATTTTCTGCTCTCTGGCTTTTGCCTTTTGCCTTTTCACCCCTAACTTGGCTACTAATAACATTAATTGAAGAAGAGGTGATAGGGGAAAGACATTTATAATCTCTCAGTCCATTATCTGAGTTTTCTTACACTTTAATCTTAAAAGTTTCTGGGCCAAAGTGTTTATCAGTTTGAGGAAAACAAGACTTTCTGCGACTTTCACGTCTGTTAATTCCAGCAAGACCATCCCAGGGGTTTTCTGAGCTCTCCACCAGCAACCTCCTTCCGTCACAGGTCAGAAATTGTCCCTAGAGGAATGAGAAAAAGGTTTTTTATGTAATCTAAGTCGTAAATATAGTTAGAATAAGTCATGTACTAGTAAACTCATATATTCTCTCTGTGAATTAGCCTCACCCCTGCACAAAGATAGAAGAAAATGAAAAAATAATTGCTTTAATGCTACCTATACTGTATTTTGAATAGTCCCACTTAGGTGCAAATTTCCTGAAAAGCTCACCGATCCTAATTCTTGCCCTTTGAGGTCTCCAGGCTAATTATGGCACATGGTAATAAGATGTAAACATGTAAAAAATAAAAAAAAAAAAGGAATGGAGCACAGCAAGTACTAAGGAGTGAGAAAAATAAAATGGTGAGCCTGAATGTGATGTGATGTTTTCAAGTGACACACATCCACACTCGCATGGCTACAAGCCACTCCAGATGACAATCGCACTTCCGCGGCAGTATGGTCTTTTTTGTTTTATTTTGTTTAGAGATGAGGTCTCACCATGTTGCCCAGGCTGGCCTCAAGCTTCTGGGCTTAAGCAATCCTCCTGTCTCAGTCTTCCAAGTAGTTGTGACTACAGACTGGTTTATAATCAGTTTTATTACTCTGTTCCTTTCATTAAATTCCCCCTAGAGTGGCTGAACTGTTAACTGTTCAGGTAGAACTTAAAGCTCTTTGCAGCCACACATGTTTCCTATGCTTACATCATTGCCCTTTTAAGCAGAAAAACCAACCTCTGTTTTCCAGGAAGCCAGAATTCCATTCTAGCACCAAACCCAGATAAGGCCCCCTGGGAAACTGAGTTAGGACAGTCTCTAAAAACTACCAAATCCCAGAGCAACATTGGTGCTGAGGAAACCTGGCCATTGGATTATCACTGGAGCGTGGGGAGTCCTTATAGCAACAATGCATATAAAAGTGGCCTTCAAGAAGACTGGTGAATACTTATGGGGTCTCTAAGCTGGAATGACTGTGTCTGGGAAAAGACCAGATCATGTCTAAACAGTCAGGAGGCATGTTCACTAAAACAAGAGAAGTAAGCTCAGAGACCCTTCTCACGGAGACAGCAGTGGTTTCAGGCCAAATCAGAGAGGGCATTCATGGAACTCCCTGCCCAAGATGGCGTAAAGGATGAACCAACAAGCCCAATACAGAAAAAAATAAAAGAAGGAGGAGAAAGAATGAGCTATCTACAGGGTCTAGGGCATGGAGGTTGTTAGGAGTTCTCAGGATTTGAGCTGAAGGTCATCCATTTGAGTTGAAGGCCATGGAGCACAATGGTCTCTCCCTCCGAACCGCAGAAGGTACCTGGGCAGATCTGAGGAATGAGAAGGGTGGCTCAGGCACCTTTTTAATGAGCACATCCTCCATGCAACACTTCATTGTTTGAAAGTCTTCAAATCGTTAGACCCAGACCATGCTTTGTAATTGTGTTGTCGTTGCTGTCTCATTGTATATGCATTGAGTGTTGACCTGCGTGTTTTGTTACTTAAATATTAAAGACACTGTTTATCTTACAGTTGGATAGGTTTTGCTCGTTCTTCTACGTTTTGGGAAGCGGAGGTGGGAGGGCCCATCACCTCAAAGCTGCATACATCTTCCTGGGAGTGTTCCTACTTTCGGAATCTACGTCTGCTCAGCAGCAGCTCAGCTATCTGGAAGCCAACTGGGTGTGGGTCCAGCCCGGTTAGTAGTTTCTGCAAGTTGGGAAGCCTGAACAAAGGGGAGTTTCCAGAGCTACCAGGGGTGCAGCTTGGGGTCCAGGAACCAAGTTCACCCTTTTTGACCCTGAGTGCACCAAACTGAAGTCTCTAGTCATTGGCCTGTCTGTGGGCCGTAAAACAAGAGCGCCAAGGAATGCCAAGGATTGGGCCGACCAGTTCAATAAGCTGTAGGGAGGCTGAATCTGACCCTGGAAACAGTATAGGCTGTAGAGTTGGAACAACCAACCTCAAATCCAGGTCATACCACTTCCCAGCTATGCTAGCTTGAGCCAAGCCTTCCACCTTTTTGAGTCTCGGGTTCCTTCTATATAATAAGGGTAATAAGGAGAGCAGAACAGTGAAAGTAAAGCACCTACTTAAGTGACAGACACCCAACTCACACACTTTAGGACAAACAGGGCTTGGGCTCATGTGACTGAGATATCTCAGGCCAGGGATGGCTTCATACACAGCTGGATCAAGGAACATATTAAGAGTCTATCTTTCTCTGTCCATATCTCAGTGCTGCTTTTCTCTCTGTTGGGTTGCTTCTCAAGAAGATTGTTCCACAACAGTCTGGCCCATTCCTATTTCTAGGCATAAAGCTATGCTCCAGCTAGGAATCTTAGCCAAAAGGAGGCATCTCTTTTCTGGTATCTGTAGGAGAGAAAACCCTGATAAAATTCATCATACTATTTGAGTCATGTACCCATCCCTAAGCCTCTTCCTATAGCCAGAGCAGTGGTGTCTAGCTTGGAGAATCCTCTGTCTCCCAGTCAAAACATGGAGATTTGTCATATGCCACCAACACTGTATTCTAAGGACCCAGAGTCCTTAGAAATATCAGGCAGACTCATTGCTTTGCCTCATTTTTTCCTCCTTTGGTTGAACCTGAACTCCAAGAAAAGCTTCCAAGAAATGACTTCTGAGCTTCTCAGATCCCTGTTACCAAAGAGTATACAGTACAGAAAGGGAGACTCTCAGAGGTCACTCTGGTTCTCAAAGAAAATTGATTATTAAAACCTAAATATTTTTTTTAAAACCCACTTTAAATTATTTTTTAAATAGATAAGGTTACAGACATGATTAATAGAACGCTGTCCTCAGTTATATCATTTTGAGCTTTTCAAACTTATATTTGCTAAAATTTAGGATCATTACGAAGATTCCCCATGCAAAGACAGAAATGGAGGAATCAAGTCATGAGCACATGCTCAAAATATGACTCACGACTGTAACCCATAAAAATCCCCGGGGGTTCCCAGTAGCTAACTGTTAAGGGTTGTTTCACTTTTGTCTACCTAGGATACAAAAACAAAGGGTTTAACCAATCTTTTCATGGGATGTCCAATTATTCTCCTTTTTTTCTTGGGTCGTATCCAGGCCTCTCCTGCCTCCGCAGTACATTAGACAGGGTTGACCACTACAATGCCTGCAATTTTTGCCAAAATGCCTGGCATCTTAGAGTTAATGTGTTCTGCTAGAGAGAGCACCGGACTTGGAATCAAAACCTGGATTTGTAGTTCTGACTCCATTGTCAGCCAATTATGTGAACATGCAGGGCCAACCACAATGATTCACTACCATGATTTCATTATGTTATGTTTTAATTGAGTTCTCCTGATGATAGTACTGTGCTTAGTGCTTTATATACTTTATCTCTAACCCTCCAACAACTCTGATCTCACCCCACTGATCTACAATAAACCCAAAGCTCCTAAATACTCAAGGATCAACACACACACACACACACACACACACACACACACACAATGATCCTCCTCATCAGAAACCATCATTTCTTTAACTTTTTTATTCTTAAGCATTTGCATGTGCCTCAGAATTGCTATTGAAAAATTCCACTCCTACCAGGTAAACCAGGCTGATTTGTTACATTTCCCAATCCCCAGTTAGAAAGGAAACAGGGCATTCACTTCGTAATAACCCAGACAAATGTGAAATGAGTTTGTGAAGTGTTAAGAGTTGAGGATAAGCTGACAGATTCCTTGTAGTTCAAAATGTAATGTAGGATACTGTGTCGTAAAGATGAAACATCACTAAAATGCTTTAAATGCATCCATATTTTATTCCAGTGCAAGTGTCTTTCGTTTAGATAACAAAAAAGTGATCGATTAGTAATGAGTTTTAGTGTACATACCACCACAATACTCAGTACTAAAGACAGCTGCTACCTAATAACCAAATAAGATGAAATCTCTTAGCCAATCCTGCTACAGGGAGTTGCCAAAAGAAATTATGAACTTCTTCCTTAGAGAAAACTCAGGGGGAGTTGGGTGCTCCTTAGAGACCAAGGGCATTCAAGTTTCTTCCATAGAAAACATTATATTTATTATTATATATTAAAACATTACATATATTGCTATATATAACTTAGACTTTTAAGGAAATGTAAAGGTAATGTTATATCTAATATGAAAGAAGGCTGAAAATATTTGTCCTTTGGCCAGGCACAGTGGCTTACGCTTGTAATCCCAGCACTTTGGGAGGCTGAGGCAGGAAGATTGCTTGAGCCCAGGAGTTCAAGATCAGCATGGGCAACATAGTGAGATCTCATTTCAACAAAAAATCAAAACATTAGCGGGGGCAGTGGCATGCATCTGTAGCCCCAGCTGCTCAGGGAGTTGAGGC